CAAGAGTAATGTGGCCGAATCCTTTTAGGCTTTTATTAGCTCGATATACTCTATCGATTGAGGTATAACTCATTAGAAATGGAGGGTATCACCTCGGACGGTTCCCTCGTTAGAGTAAAACATTTTCGATTTTGATCAAATAATCAAAATAATATAATCATGCTTGAGAATAACAACCATCAGAAACAAACAGACTTTAATTTTCGGGTAGCTCGATCCAATGCATACCTAATCCAGAGTTTTAAAAGTCATTTTCAATGCTCTTCTTCTGTTGAAATACAAAAAGATGTTTTTTGTCATGGAAAAACTACGGTTTTTATTATTTTTTTCAAATTAAAATCATGTAATGTAGTATGCTTTGAAAATCAGCTACAGAGTGAGAAGAGCATCATTTTGAACACAATGATGCAATCACCGTTCTTCATAGGCATTTACATCCAGATTTGAATAACAACAACAAAACGTGTATTGTATAATTAGTTTATATGATCCTTACTTATTGTCTTTTATGGCACCGTTTAAAAAATTGTCTTTTTCTTGTAGAGTAGTTCTGAGATAAATGTAGTAAAACACTCATTGATACTTGTTCAATCGACATCAAACACTTCAGCTAGTATTCGATCGAGTAACAATGCGGAAGGTGATACAACTTTTCATTTGTGTTTTTTTTTCGTCTTTTTAGCGTAACGGATGGGATAGAAATAATGGAAAAACCTTTCAATTTATTCTTACTCACTCGAATGAAGTTTTAAGAGCTTATTCTACATTTAAAAGATAGATTTTTTCATTCTACAAACTTTAGGTATCTGATATCCATACTTTGTTTGATTATTTGAAAAAATAACGTAGACGCAAGACCAGAAAGAAGCATAATTGTGACGCTCAGTCAAATGTTAGTAACTTTTCAACTTTTAAGTACTAACATGAAAACTTACCAAATGGGTATAAAAATGTTCACCGAATTCAGGGCTACGGTTTTGATTAGACTTCTTGTTCACATGGCATCAAAACTATTTAGATGCATAAGAAAAGTTATCATTTTACTTGGCAATATATTGGAAGAAAAGCAGAAAAAAACTTGTCAAAGAATGCGGTGTGTATGCGTGTAAAAACATACTGTTTTTTATGAAGCGCTGCCATTCATTTTGGTAAAGAATTCTTGACACCTAGCGGTATGTCGTAAAAAGTTTAGTACAAAAACGTCATAGAAGTTTGGAATCATTCAGTATTACTGACAAAATGTCAGAAATAATTTATTTTTTATGAGAATTAATTGAACGAAGCCGCTTTCTTCACACAAAGTAGCTGAGGTAAATAGTTACTAGAAAACTTTATTCTATGATTAATCAGATTAAGGATCAAAAGGCTTCTTGATTGTCCTCTCTCTGCGTGTTATATTTTCAAATAATCAAACAATGTGTGAATATTGGATACATAACGTTTTGTAGAGCAAAAATGTCTCTATCTTCTCGAACGTAGAATAAAATCTTAAAACCTGATTCAAGTAAAGTTAGAATAAGCTGCAAGGTTTCCTCACTGATTTTATCTTGTCCATTATTCCAGAGTAGCTTTTGATCTACTCGATAATTTTCCACAATGTCCGCTCAGTTTCGTCCCAAATTAGTCTTTCTCAATTCGTTCCAGCTAAATTTGTATATATATTTAGAGTAAATGTACTTTTGATACACGAAAAAAAGATACTTTTGATCACCACGTTTTTTCAGCATCCATCTCACATTTTTATTTCTCAACAAAGTATAATGTACAACACAAACATATTCAATGAGATTTTTAATCAAATGAATATTAACGCTGTGCTAACTTTCTTAGAACGCCCTTTTGCTTTTCGTTTGCCTAATGGTTGAATACGTATTTTATCGCTAACTTGATACAAGGTAAATAAAATTGCTACACGAATATACTAATAATGGTACAATAAACCAACAGGATTGAACTTGTATCAAGTTAGCGATAAAATACGTATTCAACCATTAGGCAAACGAAAAGCAAAAGGGCGTCCCAAGAAAGTTCGCACAGCATTACTATTCATTTGGTTAAAAATCTCACTGAATATGTTTGTGTTGTATATTATACTTTGTTGAGAAATAAAAATGTAAGATGCATGCTGAAAAAAATTTGGTGATCAAAAAAATTGATACCCTATATTTAACTCTCAGTTTATCCCAGATTTTTTAATGTATAATTTTCAAAATGTTAACAGCTTCTTTTTCATATCAAGGCCTAATTAATTTATTATGATAAAAATTAAAAGCACACAGTATCTTCCTATGATTGGTAGTCTGAATATACTACAATACAAAGAAAAACAATTCGTCCCAACTAATTTTTCACATAATTTAATAATAATCTTATGTATTCACAACAAATATGAGTAACCAAAATAATAGCCAAAGAAATAATTAATTTTTTAGTCAAACTTGTTTTCACAGCTCTACCACATTTAATAGCTAATTGAACATTAGTTAGAATACCACTACTATGACTAATAAGTAATTGCTTTAGTTTATTATTAATGTCATTATAGACTTTTTTTCGTTTATGTGTCTGAATATTTGATTCTTCAGCTTGATGATTGATGGTGATACTGTGTGCTTTTAATTTTCATCATAATAAATTAATTAGTCATTGATGTGAAAAAGAACCTGATGACATTTTGAAATTTATACTTTAAAAAATCTGGGACGAACTGAGAATAAAAATTATGTGAAAAATTAGTTGGGACGAATTGAGAGAGACTAAGTTGGGACGAACCTTGAGACTAAACCATTTTTTATTACTTCCATCAGAAATCGCGGCTATCAAAATTCTAATTGGAATTTTTCTCTTGATATTGTTTTAGTTGACGAGACGATTGATCCATTGCGCTTACCAGAGATAATAATTATTTTATGTGTGTTACTGCTATGGTTACTATCGATTTTTGTCTTTATTCGTCATTCTGAATTATTACGGATTCGTCATCGTGATTTACCGTATAAATATGGAAATATAAAACCACCAATGAACTTGAATCATGTTCTAATTGTTGATAGAACAAGTGAAACGGTTATACATTCAAAACGTGGATATTCATTGTGTCTAAAATTACCTGCGTTTCCACATGAAAGTGAGAATAAGGATGATAATAGTAATATTGATGATAAAAATCTAGTCACACTTCCATTGCCTCTCAAACGTCATACACAATCGTTTGATTACGGTAATTCAGAAGGGTCTAGACAAAGAGAAGAAAAGCTGTTAAAGCCGTATCAGATACCTTCGATCGTTCGACGAAGTCTTTTAGATCTTCACAAAGCAACTCATGAAATGTCACAACCATCTACTTCACGATCATTTACAAAATATTTATCATCATTATCTGTGAACAAAAATCAACTAAAATCTTCTTCTATCGATAAGGCAACTGAACGTGTTTTGCAAGAATCTCCTGTATAAATAAATGTTTATTTTATCTGTTTAATATAATGAAAAAATCTAACCTCTAATGAAAAAGAATTATTCAATATCTTAAATACTATCTTCTTCAAAATATAGGTTTGAGATTCTTAAAAGTAAATGAAAACGTACGTTTTTAATCACTTTGAGTCTTGCGGCAAAGTTTGTTTTTCGATGATACCTCAATAATCTAGTGAAGAACTATAATAGATGAAATAGTTCTGTTTTAGCTATTTTTTACAACAAGCTAAAAAATTCATTATTAAGTGAAACCCGATCGAAACTACTCCAGAGTATCAGAATAAATCTTCAAGTTCACGATGTATTAATTCATGGAAACATAGGTTATCAAGCACGCTGAATCTTGTGATAATGTTTGTTTTCTGAAGAAAATTCAAAAAGGAAACGAAACAAGATTGATTTAACAGCAACGATGAACATACTTGAATTTTTATTATTCAAGAAAGTCGACGTTTCGACTCGTTCAGAGTCATTATGAAGACAGAGTTAGAAATTCGCACAAAATGAATGATTCATCCGGAGGAACTGAAGATGTGAAAACAAATAATAAAGATGAAAGGTAGCAATAATCAATAAACCATGGGGTCGGTGATGTTATTTATCAAATCATCTTTATCATTGGTTTCGACCCCTTCAGTCCCTCCGGGTAAATAATGAGAGAAACCGATGCGACTGTTTTGTTCAAAGTTGATTGATGATGTTGGATAGCGAGAGATTCACGAATTAGCAGGTGGTAAGGACGAGGATCTTTGGCTAAAATTCGCCATTCTCTCCATTTGACGCTATGTCCTTGTTCTTTTGCGTGATCGTGCAGAGCCAATCGAATATTATTATATTCAGCTACAGCTTCTTCGATTGGTAGGTAGTGAAAATAATTAGTAACGTCATTCCGTTTAGCCCTTCGAACGCTGTGAGGTTGTTAGGTGAAATATCCCATTTTTGCCTGTTTTCGACTAAAATTCATAAATCAGTCAAGATCAATCCAGATTATGTCAGAATATGAAGATGTACTCTATTTTACCTGCTACAAACGATTTATTACTTGACAATAGTAAAAAACATCCTTATACTTCGAAAGCTTTCTAGAAAACGCTTTCAAAAACCAGAGTCTTTTCTGTCGATTTTTAAAGCTTCTGTTGAACTGCATAATATTGAGCAGGTAAAATAGAGTGCACCTTGATAATCTGACATAACTTGGAAAACGATCGATAGAGCGGAAAAAGAAGTTAAAATTTGTTAATGGAAGTCACAGCTACCGTGGCGCTCTGACAAAAAGTCAAGATGGAATTCTTAGAAGCCCTCTGTCGAATTCGCCGTAAAATTCTACATCTAAAACCCACGTTTGGCCTCATTTGGTGACAGCGCGGAGCTTGAGCCTAATTTTCTAATGTTGATCTTGACTGAGTTATGAATTTTTGAATTTTAGTCGAAAACAGACAAAAAATGGGATGTTTCATCTAACATATGTTTTCACTACGTTTTTGAAACTAAAAATCAAATGTTGCCACGAGATTCAACATAGTCAGTACCCTGTGTTTTCATACATTACTGGCAGTGCCAAATCTAACGGCAGAGGAGTCCTAACGCTTCAACCAAAAACTGATGGATTTCTATGTAAAACTTTGGACCTATAAGCCGGTTTTCTACAGATTCACTTAGAAATCTTTTACACAAAAGTTTTGGCTTCTGCATATTACTACGTGCCCCGGTCTTGGCTGCACGATAGCGAAAACTCAATCTCGATAGCTCATTCCGTTCTCGAGTTATTCATGTCGCAATCATCCACACTATATTTTGAAACGGATAGTAGTTACTAATTTAAATAGAGATAATTATAAAAACTAAGACATTATCTATCAATATTTCAATACTCTTAGCTAGCTGGTCTTGTCCGAATCCCCATGTTGGCCAACAGTTGTATACATATTTTTAACATTACACAGACCACATGTATTTAAATCTTTAAGATCAATCCATGATAAATTCAAAGTTTTAACCATGACATTTTTTAATTAGTAAATGTAATTGAAACTGGTTGTCAAATCAATTGGTATTGAATAAAAATAACCATCACTTGGTTTCATTTTAATTGATAAATAACAAAGATTGATCATACTTAATTCTGACAAAATTTCATCGAATATATCAACTGTTGGATGAATGAGAGTTAATAGTTGAAGATGAATACATTTCATTAAACCACATTTTTTAACAAATCGCTCTATTCTTTGTGGAACATGTGTAAAACTATGATCAGACAATGTTAAACCAAATGTAGTTTCATAATTTGTTAGAATTAAATCACAATATCAATCAAAATGTTTTGTAAATGATAAATTTAAATTTAACAGTTTCGATTTGATAAGAGTATTTATTCGTGTATTCAAGTTGAAAAAAATGAAACATGTATATCGGTATCATCTACATAATCAAATATTTGAAGAAATAATCCGTTTGGTAACAATTCCATCAATTGAATAGAATAAAATGTTCTTTCTTAGAGACAAAGAAAAGACGAAAAAATGAAATCTGACATTCTTTGAGTTCTGTGAAAGATGAAACGAGTAATTTTCTTCTTTTTTTTCCATTTCTCAGGCAAATACACATTTTCAATCAACGTTAAATGAACCAATTTTTTTTCTTCTCTGTTCCAAATCAATGCAGAAGTGTATATTTTCCAATTTCCAGAAAAAAAATATTTCTGTATTCTATCGTAGAAGATTTTTCAGATTTTTGTTTGTATCGTATTGTTATCAACATCTGTTATATCCTGACAACTTACTTACTACAGCGTACGGACTTTGATGATGAATATGACCTTACTTTGAAGTTAGTTAGACTTCAATCGTCAAAGAACTCTTTTGT